GATGTTTTGCGCAAGAAAAGGTAAAAGTAGGGGCATTCTGCACCAAAAATGTAAAAGGTATGGACGTTTGAACCAAAAAACGAAAGGTAGGGACATTTTGCACAAAAACTTGCAAAGGTAGGGACGTTTTGCGCCAATTACCCATAGATTATTTTTATACTGTCAACTGTAATCGCGTCACGTGTTCCCTATTTTTAAAATATGTTATTGAACCTTTCAATGTAGGATAACTCTTGTTAGAATACGAATAGTCAAACTTTTTAATCAGAGATGAGATGATAGGCCTCGATAAAAAAAAAAAAAATTAGGGATTCATTTTTTATTTATGTATATAAAAATTGAAATTAAGTCAAAATTTTAGTAAATTTTAATAAAAGTCGATAAAATGTGTGATTGAAAAGTTGTGAATCTAATGAAATACGTGATGGAAATTAATCGTTGACTTTTAAATTTCAAACAAATTTTAAATCTAATCAATTGTCGGCTATATGTTCTCTAGATTTTAATTTAGTTAGAATTCTTTCTAATGGTACATTTTTGTATGTATGGAAATATGCTCTCGGGATATAACTTGATAAAGCGAAAAAAGTATGTAAAGATTCTATTTAATAACTTTTCTTCCCTTTTTTAGATTCAATTCAAATATGTCTATCTATAAAGATTCTTCAAAATCCCTTGGACAAGCAATTAAACACTCTACTAAAAAAAAAAAAATGGAGTTGAGATTTGTTATCCATATTTGATTGTTTCCTGATTTGCCTATTAAATTGTTGACATTTGATTGCATCAAATCTTCTTAACAAATATGTCATTTCAGAGCTTGATCTATGATATATGAACAATTCACTAAGAAAATAGTTAAATGGGAATAACAGATCTCAACTCGAAAAAAGGGAATATGAGCTTCAAGTAGTACATACCAAATTAGCTATGGGAATTTAAACAGATGAATCGAAAATATAACTTCATATCGTATAAGTAGAAATGTTTCTCCGTGTACATGTATTTTATAAAAACTAGGTGCAAGCAACGT